GTGAATGTCTGTAGTTACTGAGCTAGCCAATGCTTTCCTTCCACCTCCATTTACTTGCTTTACTGACTTTTACTTACTTTTGCAGTAATCCTGCATCACACTCTTGATGAAACTCATTTGCTTCACCTCAAAACAATTGTAGAGTTTAATTTTACTCTTTTCCTTACTCATTTGAAAAAAACACTTGACTCCTGTATATTACTGCCACATCTTGTTATTTTGGGAAGTTTCTGGCAGCTCAGTTCTGGTGACGCCTTGAGGAGCATATTCAAAGGACTTAACATCAGCACATTTTCTTCTTTACACAAGGCTGCTGCGGACAAAAGAAATACCTTATGAGCCAGGCATGAATCAAAGTCTCAGGAAACGCATAACTGCAGGGAAACAGGATTCTGTGAATACAGTTTGACCATCCCATTTTCACCTACACACACACTCCAGTGGGCATTATCATCTAGTGATGAGTAAATTAGTCACTGTCAGCCTTAATTACACTAAATCTCTGTCCTTACTCAGGGTTGTGGGGCGGGAGAATCTTCTACTTCGAAAAAGGATATGGTTTTTATTTAGTAGCTGTTTGTGTTGCTTTTCAATACATTTTTTATTCCAATAATTATGCTGCATTGTAGGCGGTATTCATTTGAACTTGAAGCTTTACCAACGGCAAAGAGATGACATAAAGGGAACTGGTCAAGAAAGCTGAAACTATGAACAAAGAGCTTGATTTTTTCCCACTGCGGTAGCCATTTTTTTCTGATTCTGCATTGTTATTTAGTTCCTATCCTTATGACTCTCTCCAGGGATAATCCTACTGACCTCATCAGCAGATGTATTTTTAGATGTATTGTTTCTAGCTAGGAGGCTATATAGGAGAGGGATGTTAGCACGGTGTTACTTTGAATATGTGCGTTTTGTGATTCAGAATATAGGCTCTTCTTAGGTAACTGCACTTTCCAACCTATTTGAACTGGATGGTCTTGCTGCTCTTCTGTTACTCTCTTATGAACTCCCTTGAAAGGTCAAAGTTATCTCTGCCAACAAAATAGTCTTCTTTTTGGCCACATTTGATCTGGCCAAGAGACAAGAGGCCTCACCCTCATTCTACTTCAGCTGTCACAACCTCTCTGAGCTGAGAGCTGTTGCCTGAGATAAATAAGAGCAAAATGTGGCCATCGGTAAGAAAGATGCTCATTAGTTGTTCCTTCTTTTGAGTATCTGCAGAACTCAGGCAGAAAGCATTAATTCACTCTGTACTGCAAAGCGTTGATCTCACTCCAGGTCTTGCTCTCATTACAGCAGCAGACAAAAACATGTTAGAACTGCTGATTAATTATTTTGAGTCATGACTGCTCTTCAAACCTTTACATTAAATGGATAGAGTATTTCAAGCACGTTATGACATAGCAAGAGGATCTGTGCATGATAACAAAACTAAAATACGAGCATCACACATAAATAAGTACTTCCAAACTGCCCTCAGGAAAAAAAAATCAATTTTGTGAAATCAGGAAAGATTTTCAGGAAAAAAAAATCAATTTTGTGAAATCAGGAAAGATTTGTGAAAAATACTGAGAAGTCAAAACAGTTTATTTTGTTGGTAAACTGCTTAGGTGAAATAATTTTGGTTATGTCTTACTCTTATGAAAGTTGTTATTTTTTTTCTTCCAGTAAGCTGTATCTTTCTCATGGTGGTAAACAGTATATATTTTTTTATTCACATGTAGGTTGAGCTGCCACTGAGAATAGCTCTGTCCTCAGCAAAATCTAAGTGTAGTGTGCTGTTAAGTCATGCAATGCTTGTATCATCTCTGTCTCACTAAGTTTCTTTTAATATAGTCAATGACCATGCTAAAGGCAGAAAGGAGAGAATGGATTCTATTGCTGTGAACAGCTGTGTTAGCCAGTTCACTCAAGGTTGCAGTTACTTCACCTGTTTGAACTTCATTTTAATAAAAAACACTGATAATGATTTTTTCAGCATATCATAACATTTCAGGATGTTGCAGAGTGACTTAAGAACTGTGATAAAACTTGCCAAATACTTTCTTAAGTATATGAAAGTTTTATAATTTTTTTCATTGATGTTCTTTGATTATTCTTGAAATGAAATCTGGCCATTATATGATGATTCTGGCTGAAAGCCAGTCTGCTCTCCCTCTGGCCTTGTAACATTCCTTGATGTTATGTTATGTTATGTTATGTTATGTTATGTTATGTTATGTTATGTTATGTTATGTTATGTTACATGACTGGCAAAGTCTTCTTCAATATTAATGAAATCAGAGTAACATTATCAGTTGTTGCTAGGTTATCGTTCTTCAATATCTGATTACAATACCTTTGTTCTTATTGTTCTGATAGGTTCATTACAAAAGGTAATAAGTCCATGGCAATGGACAAGAGGTTCATCAGAACATGGTGACACTGGTCTTCATTTGCAGCTTTCAGAGATCCTAGTTATTAGCCAAGACAGCAGATATCAGCTTTTCCCTCTCTTTCTGACCCATGTTATTACAGTTTCTAATTATAGGTGTTTCTATTCTTCGTCAAAGTCAACAATTTCTTCTTGTCTGTTTAAACCCTCCTGAAACCGCCTGAAACACGCTGGGCAACATCTTCCTGGGCTCTGGCCTTCCCTGAGAATCCAGACTGATGTTTCTAACCTGTGTTTGCAAATCTGCGTGCCACAGCCTTCTACACTGGAAAGGTGGAAAATTGTGAATGTGAAACTGTGAAAAAAAAAAATCTCACTTCCATGCTGTAGGCTGACGGTTTTTCAAAAGAGCTTCACTTTTCTCTACTCTGTTCTTCCATCTCAGATTATATTTAGAAGAACTTAATATTAGAAATTGTACTATAAAATGAATGAAAAGAGTTGAGAGCATGAATTATGGACACAAGATTTATGCTTGACAACCCGAAGTTTGCCTTCTAAGTATTCGGGTACACAGATACAACTATCCTGATTTTTCATAGAGGTGAAGTAATTTGAGGCCTTCTTTTATGTCAGTGGAATTTGAGGCTCATGGCTCTTCTGAAATAACCTAGCCAGGGCAGGGCACAGGGCAAGTTATTTGTATGTGAACTTTTCTATTAACGATATATCATACATGTGATTGGAGTAGGGTTGATGCAATTCAGGTGAAACTGTGCTGTGTATACTACTGGCGGAATGTGAATCTCTTCAGAGGAGTATAAAGTAGCCCACAGCCTCATGGCGCAAGGGGTGGAGGACTTCCAGAGAGGCGTTTCTGATCAGCAGGACATCATTGATTCTTGGACCACACTATACCCCATCACTCCAGGACACAGAGAATCATTTTTCTACCTTCTGTTGGACTGCAAGGCTTCCGGTCTGAGGTAAGGAATCTGATAGTGCTAATAATACTGTGAAATAAACAAAGCGGCTTTGACTCCCTCAGAGACAGGAGGAAAGACTACATATCATGCAAATACACATTTTCTAATTGTTACCTGTTTCATAGCATCACAGAGTCATTCATGCTCAGAAAACACAGGGATACTGATCCGTTATCTAATGGTTTATGTTATTATCATATATTATTATATATGTTAAAATAATAGTACCAAAAGTGACTGGGAAGTTGTGATGCCAGCTCTTTCCTGGACTTCATTCTTCATTTTCTTCAATTTTGAAGCATGCACATACAGAAGGAAAAAAGTGAAAAAGTTGGAGAACTATCGTAGGGTGCTTGTTTCTTTAATATTCTTCTGTAGCACGGTCAAACACTGCTGAGAGCTATATAGACACCATACTCTTCCTTTTTCTGCTGACAATACCACCCATACAAGCGTGCCCTTAATTTACCACACAAACAGGCCACAAGGTGGCTGTATATGTCAGCTGTACGTTAAGCAGTGTTTCGGATAGAGATGTCTCAGTGGCCAGCGCTGTCAGTCTGAACAGAATTATGTCTGTGTGCAACGCGCCCCTCTGGTAACGTAATTTTGGCTGCAAAGGTAATGAGAAGTTAGAGTAATTTGTTTTAAACTGCCAAGAACAACGATGGGACAAAAATGGAGACAAAATCCAAAGAGAACGACACAAAAATCAGTACCCATGATTCAGAAACTTAGATTACTCTGGGATTCAACCATTCATTGCAATTAACTTTTCTCCGACCTCCGCTCCATGGTTATTTATTTCCGGTATGTTCGACCGTAAAATAGAGCTTTTGTGAGGAATACAGGCAACTTTGAAAGAATGAGTGACAGCCCTCAAATAATCAAAGGAGCGAAGGATTAGAAAGTACACGAGCCGATGGCTACTCAGCTAAACGTGGCCAAATGCCTCCCCCTCTTCTTCTTCAGAGACCTGTCACCACCTTGCTGGATTACCCTGCCGTCTCCACTTGCGTTTGCAACGTCATGAAAGCGTGTGTGCGTGCAGGGGTCGCCACTTCTCAGGGCTTTTCCAAGGTGTGCAAGGCTTTTAAGCGAGACGAACGAAGAGGAGCAGCAGCCACGTGTAGCCTCGAAATGGGGTAAGAAACTCGATGTCTGCCTTTTCTGCTTCTGGCTTGTGAGGAGCAACCTGCGCGACGGCCCCGGCTCTATAATACTGCTCTCGGCGGTGTCGACTCTGCGCCTTCGTCTCCTTCTTGTGGCCCGTATATGCTGTGGAGAGGAAGTCCCTCAGCTATTTTGTGGATTATATTATATATAGCCCAAATGCTTCTTGCCTGTGTCGGTACAGGTACCTACTGTGCAGTAAAAATAAACAGCGGAACATAATTAATCCCGGAGCCCCGGTTCCTTCACAAAAAGGCGATACAGAGTTTTCCTCGCTACGTTGCTAGCGAAGGAAAAAAGAGGAGAATCTGCGTTACGTTTGGCAGTCGTCTTCCCCGGAGCAGAAGGCTTTTGCTTTACGTCTAGCCGAGGGAATACAGTGTTTTTACACCTGCCCGATGCCGTTGCCATGGCAATTGAACTTGGCACCTCTGTACGAGGCAGGGAGGCGGCGGGAATAGGCACAGAGCAAACACAGCAGCGAGGGAGCTCCGCTGCCGGGGCAGCGCAGGACTTCGCCTCGCTGCCACCCTCTCTGTAAGATGGGTAATTGAACTTTTTAGTGTTTTGAACCGTTTGGAAATTGACTTCAGCTGAGAAAATGAGGCTTAGCTGTCTGTGGATGTTTTAAAACACTCGCCCTGTTCTTGGGTTCCTTTGCAGGTGCCTGAATTTACCTTAGGTACCTCGGCAGCGGGTCTGACTCCACCCCAAAGCATTCAGGGCCTATGGAGTCCGGGATACAAGAAGAGGCAGGTAACCTACCCCCACCACCTTGCTTCCAAAACGTCTCAAACAAATACACATTTCCGTTAAGGACTGCTAGGCCAAATTTCATTCCAGAGTGACTTTTCATTGTCCAAACACAACCAACAAACCAGAGAGTCGGGGTGGTGTAATGAGTACCCCGAGCTCATTCTTGGCTCGGCTACTAATTTGTTATGAGAGCTCGGTCACCACATATGAGGGTATGCTGTGCCACGACAGATTGACCTTGATGAGGGCCCCCTCTTGCCAGGCATGGCATACATCAGAAAGGCAAGGCTTGCTCTGGAGAGAAATCCCTGCTTATCGATTTATTTGCACCAACAAGAGAGGGCTGTAATATGCTGAGAGGCTCAGTTAACAACCGTACCATGCTGTGCACTCACTGGAAGAAAGGAACCGTGGTAATAAAAAGTGTTATTCCTGTTAAAAGATGATTTCAAATTCAAAAATAAGCCACCAAAGCTCAGAGAAATGTTATAAGTGAGGCATTTTGTTAGGTGTGGATGACTGACTAGAATTAAATATTAATCAGGCAAGTTCTGAACATCACGCCGCAATCTTCAGGCTGTAGGACCTCAAAGAACTGGTTTTCTTACAATTTCTACTTTGGCAAATAAAAGATGCATGATGGAAAAAAACCTGCTTACCCCTAACATCTGCTACCCTTTAATTATTTTGGGTGAGCATCATCCCATTTAATGTCTGCATCTAATTTAGCGTCTTCCTCTCAGTTACTTTTTCCAGGTTCCCTTTGTAGCCAGTGGAAAGACACAGGCATTCCTTGAGTGTAATTTCTCTCATCTCAAAGTAGGCATCTAAAACAGATCTGATAAATCTGACAAGTACCTTTTTTCCCTTTCTAGTTTCCAGGTGGGAACTGGAAGAGTGAGCAGAGACGGGAAGAGTCTCACTTGGGCATTTCTGAACTTCGACATGACAGGTCTTACCCTCCAGGTCAGCAGAGCAGCAGCATGATACATACACAGGCAAGGCTGAAACCCATCTCTGCACGGAGTACCTGAGCAAGCTACGTGTTTTTTCTACCTCAGCTCCCATGTACCACTGGAGAAAATATGACTTTGTTTCTTCTCCTGCTTTGTTGATCTTGTCTAGTAAGAGTCCTTTGTTGGACAGTGTCTCTTTCAAAATGTTTCTACAAAAACTCTTCTATGCTCTGATGCAGCTTTTACCATAACAGAGCAAATAAAAAACTGGTCTGTCCATATATCATAACAAAATGAAACCCTTAAATGCCAGAAAGCAGGTAATTTGCACAAAGACTAAAGAAAAAGTCTTCCCTACTCACTTTTAATGTTGTGTTTCAATTGAGCAGACAACGTAGAAAATTTCAATTAGCTCCCATAGAGTGTCACAGGAGCTGGGCTGAATCAAGAGTTTAGTGTTAATAAAGGATCAGCCAAGAATCTGACTCCTAAAGGGGCCTCAGTGAGCCACTTGTAAACCCATACATGCACCTGTGATGTCCTGACATCAGTGCACACAGCAGGCAGAGGCAGAGAGGCGGCCTTTGCTACCAGTGCAAGCTAAAAGGAACGGCCAAGGAGTTGATCTACAAGTGCACTGAAAGGACATAGATTTTTAAAAACATTTGACCCCAACCCCCATGTAAGAATGACTTCCACGCTTCACCTTCCATCCGTACATTATTTTCCCTTTAAAATGAACATATTGTACTCTGCAGAGGCGGACAATTTGTTGAATTTCATTTCACTCCTTCAATCTGCTTAATGAATAACAATGAGTTTGAAGGTTTCACTGGATTCCAGCACAGGGCTGGAATTTGCATTAAGAGTTTTCAGATCTCATTTGATTGGGGTTTGGCTTGGAGCCTCTATCTCTTGTCTTTCTTTGCATGGCTAGCTTCCATGCCACCAAAGCAAAACCAGCCCCTGCAATTTCCCCTAAAAAAGCAGAAACAGCCCCTCCAATAGGATATGCTTCAAAGAGATTTATAACGCCGAGAGTTACTGCGTGGACAGATTTCACTCTTCTGGTAGTTAATATGACTCACTTCTGAATTGGATAATTGCTATACGGTAGTGAATTCATCACTTCAAAACAAAAAGGGATGTGGGTGTGTTTATGTGTGTGTGTGTGCAGGGCATTAATGTCTACCAGCCATCAAAAAAGAGTGTATCTTCAGTCTGCTACTAACTTCAGCTCTTACCCAAATTTAAGCTGAGACTGTTCTACCATATGTTTAGGAGGCCCCTGAAGCCCGGTCAAGTGCTGCTAGTCGTCTGGGGCCCTTCTACCACTCCCCCAGGACCAGTGGAATTGCCCAGGAAAGAGTAAAGTTCCCTGCAGAAAGGACCAGGAGTCATGCTCCGAAATGTGTTTTGCTAAATTCACAAAAAGTTAAGACATAGTATTTGTAGTGGAAATGCTCACACTCAAGCAAGGCGAATTGTGGCTTTGGTCATCCAAGCTCACTCTGCAGTGAAGACATGATGAGGGTAAAGGTGGAACTGCATTTTAAAATAATCCCTCCGTCATGATTCTTATGGTAGCAGGCTATGCTGTCATTTAAATTTGCTTAGATGCTTGATAAGTAAAAATACAGATATTTATAAACCTTTTTAATTCATAAATTAGAAAGTGTCAGCCCAGAGATAGTTATAGCTAAATTCTAGGATTAGTCAGGACCAGACCGCTTCAGATCATTCCAGTGACAAGGACTAGCTACATGACCAGCTTAACTACTTGTGCGGTGGAGATGGGAGAAGGGAAGACTTCCCTCTTGGCTGTTTTCCATTGGGTGCGGGAAATAGGAATGCCTGAAAATTATGAGGACATCAGCATTCCTTCACTGAAGACTCAGGCTTCACTGAAGACACTGCTGAAATTTGAAATTCTGACTCAGTTTTCTTTGTCCAGTTCCACTACCTATAATGTCATGCCCTGCATCCTGGTAATTCTGAACACTCAGTCTGGTGATAAACATTTTATAAGAAGGACTGGATAGAAAAGTAATAAATCTTAGGCTTTATTCTTTATTTTTCCTAAAAAAAAAGTCCTCAGTATTTCAAGTGTACCTGACTAATAAGTGTACCAACTAATATTGCACACCTATAACATTATTTAGAAAGATAAGAATTACTTCTCCAAAATGAAAAAAGAAAAAAAAAAAAACCTCTTCCTGTTCACTTCCACAGAGCAGTTATTATGAAGCACTGAAGAGATGTTGACTGTATGATGGTTTCCTATTTGTGTTTTTATTCTTGCTTTCCCTTTTCCTTCATAGCTTCTATTTTCAAAGTATTGTTTCTTTATCTCTTGGCCACTGATTCCTACAGCATTCAAGTAACTTAGACTATTTTTCCAAGTTCCAGAATAAGTCAATTGAAGTGTATCCTCTGGAGATAAACTCCAATTTTTTGAATCTTTTTCTTGGGTCAAAAAGGAACAGGCTGCCCAGACAGACTGTAGAATCTCCATTTTTGGATATTTTCAAAAGTGGACTAGACAAGGGCCTGACCAGCTTTTTGGAGTCAGCCCTGTTTGGAGCAGTGGGTTGGACTAGGTGATCCTAGAAGTCACCTTCCACCTAAATTTTCCAGGTAATCTATCTTTTTCCTCTGGACTCTGCCCAGATGGTTCCCAACTTCACTTAAATGCCATGTCCATGTTCAGACTTCGAACTACAGCTGAGCTTTGAACGGAAGTTATTTCCGGCGTCTTACACTCCCGTTCACACACCTTAGTGTTATCTTCACATAAAACTCTTGGCTCATATTCAGCCTATGATACATCATAACCCCTTAATCCTTTCCTGCACAACTCCTTCCCCACCCCATATGCCTATAGCTGATTATTTCTGCATACCTGAACTAACTTGCATTTACCTCACTAAATGTTATGCTATTTTTTTCAGCCTACATCTCCTGTTTGTCAAGATAATTTTGAATTCTAATCCTGTCTTTTGATGTACTTCCACATCAAAGTGCCCTCAGAGCCTGGTATTTACAGATTAAATAACCAGGAGGTTATTAAGCACTTCCTGATCTCTCTCTGTATTGCACCGACTTCGTACAAATAAGCCACATCTTCCTTGTGAAAGACCAAAGGAAGATATTATTTTGTTATTGGATGCTACTTCTGAGCTACATTTTCACTGAGAAACACCAAATCCTCAGTTATAGCCATCTCCAAACAAATGCAGCATCGTGACCATGAGGCAGTTGAAACCTTACCAGGGTGAAGGGTCATATCCTGAGCCAAGCCAGCCAACACCTTTGGGACACTCCACAGAGCAGTTATTATGAAGCACTGAAGAGATGTTGACTGTATGATGGTTTCCTATTCGTGTTTTTATTCTTGCTTTCCCTTTTCCTTCATAGCTTCTATTTTCAAAGTATTGTTTCTTTATCTCTTGGCCACTGATTCCTACAGCATTCAAGTAACTTAGACTATTTTTCCAAGTTCCAGAATAAGTCAATTGAAGTGTATCCTCTGGAGATAAACTCCAATTTTTTAAATCTTTTTCTTGGGTCAAAAAGGAACAGGCTGCCCAGACAGACTGTAGAATCTCCATTTTTGGATATTTTCAAAAGTGGACTAGACAAGGGCCTGACCAGCTTTTTGGAGTCAGCCCTGTTTGGAGCAGTGGGTTGGACTAGGTGATCCTAGAAGTCACCTTCCACCTAAATTTTCCAGGTAATCTATCTTTTTCCTCTGGACTCTGCCCAGATGGTTCCCAACTTCACTTAAATGCCATGTCCATGTTCAGACTTCGAACTACAGCTGAGCTTTGAACGGAAGTTATTTCCGGCGTCTTACACTCCCGTTCACACACCTTAGTGTTATCTTCACATAAAACTCTTGGCTCATATTCAGCCTATGATACATCATAACCCCTTAATCCTTTCCTGCACAACTCCTTCCCCACCCCATATGCCTATAGCTGATTATTTCTGCATACCTGAACTAACTTGCATTTACCTCACTAAATGTTATGCTATTTTTTTCAGCCTACATCTCCTGTTTGTCAAGATAATTTTGAATTCTAATCCTGTCTTTTGATGTACTTCCACATCAAAGTGCCCTCAGAGCCTGGTATTTACAGATTAAATAACCAGGAGGTTATTAAGCACTTCCTGATCTCTCTCTGTATTGCACCGACTTCGTACAAATAAGCCACATCTTCCTTGTGAAAGACCAAAGGAAGATATTATTTTGTTATTGGATGCTACTTCTGAGCTACATTTTCACTGAGAAACACCAAATCCTCAGTTATAGCCATCTCCAAACAAATGCAGCATCGTGACCATGAGGCAGTTGAAACCTTACCAGGGTGAAGGGTCATATCCTGAGCCAAGCCAGCCAACACCTTTGGGACACGTGGGTCCCTGCCAGAAAGGCAAGGTGCAGAAGGTGCATGTGTCTGCGGGTGGGGCAAGACCCACTTGCAGCACGGTGCTGATTAGCATGCGCTAACATCTTCTCTTCAGCTACCTTCCTCCTGAAAGCCCTGCATGCAGCAGGATGTCTCTGCCGTCTTTGCATTGCAGGCCCGTGGTTCAAAGGTGCCATTGCATCCGTACGTCTTCAGCTTCTCCCAAGCAGAGCAGCATTCACACAGTCATTTCATATTAATCTGTGTAGGGCTTACAGTGAGAGGGGCTATCTGGTCTAAATATGGTTTTGACTTCCTCCTGATGCTTCTAAGAATACCCTTGCTGCCTCTTTTTCTTAAATATTATACAGACCACAAAACTACATATGCACTTTTGTTGCGTAAACAGAATTTCTTGCACATTGATAACATTCAATGGGAATGTAGATCTGAAGCTAAGTGCTTTTTGCCCTGTGCAGATGTCAAGCCTCGTAAGACTTCCATGAACCGGATGTGCAAATGTCACCAGTCTCTTAAACTGGGAAAAGCCTCCATGATTTATCTTCACTTTGCTGGAGATAAAAGAAGTATTTCTTTACAATGAACTTCCATCCTTTTAATCACCTCTCTTTGTTGGCTTCTTCCCATCTGAATTGTCTGGGCATAGTGAGGCAAAAAATGCGTAAAGGCAAATCTGGAACCTTAGCTTTACAAGGACCTAGAGGCTGGATCATCTCTGCAGAAAACATTCATTTGGAGAATGCAAATAAATCTGCTGTAGACTTGAATTACATATGTCAGTGAGTATAGACAGCTGTTTGTTCACACAGTCAATT